AAAAGCTCTCCAGCCTCCAAGACTGTTGCGTGTGTTTCCTTCTCATTTAATAACCCAAGTTTGGGATTTATTTTATTTTTTTTTTCCTGTAGAAACCTCTGCAGCTCTTTATAGAGAAAAATGTTTGGATGGGAAAACAAAAACAACATAGGGTATGTTGTGTTTTCTGCTCCTAAAGTGAAGCTTGTTTAATGTAAAATAGTTTGCAAACGCTGCCTTCTATACGTTTTGGGGTGGGTTGTTGGTTTTTTTCCCCCAAGTCAAACGAAATGGAGTAGGCTGGGTGTAGGAATTCATACAGCTGATGGCTCCAAGTCTTTCAGACTCCCCGACATATGGATCAAGCAGGCACAGATTTAGCAGGTCTGTCTTTATGTTAAAACGTATACGTGATAAAAATATATGACTGGAGGTAATTTCTGCCGTTAGTGCCGTTCCATTCTGAAATGCTCCAAGAGGTGCCATAAAACCCCTTTTTTTTTGCAGAGAATAGTCACAAGGAACCCTCAACCTTTTATTTATTTATTTTGATAATTCCACCAGGGTTTGGGTGGGTTGTTTTTTTTGTGCCTGCATTTCTCTGCCATCCTGCGAGAGCCTTGCGACCGTTTGTGCAGGTGTTGTTTCTGAAAAGCCATCGTCACTGCAGGTGTATTTTAGGCATGAGCTGAAGGTAAAGATCCTGGCAGCAAGTGCCTGGCTGTGTCTGTCTGTCTGTCTGTCCTGCTCCACGGGGTCTGCAAAGGCAGATGTGAGGCTGGCACCAAGAAGGGCTTTCAGCCCCCATCCCTCCCATTTCTCCATCCCTGGGGAGGGGAGGAAAAACCAAACCCGAAACAACAACAACAAAAAAAGGGAGAGGAATATAGTTTTCTCGAATCAAAAGTTCTCTTTTGACGTGGTTTTCGCAGTATAAGCCCAGGCAAAGGGTGTTTTAATTTCTGATTTTCCAGCTCGTGGGTCATATTTGACCAACTGCTTTCGGCAGAAGACACGCCACTTTGTTGAGCTATTTAGGACTCAAAAAGACTGTCTTAATTTCAGACAAGGAGCCTTTGTTTTAGTTGGTGACTGCCTTGTGAAATTTTTCAGTTCTCAGCGGGTTAACCAGGGAACAGGGGCAGAGTCATAATTGGCCTATTTAGAGTATTTTGCATGTGAATAGTGTGTTAGTGAAGCATTACTAAGTCTGTTGTGAGTGACATGGTGATTAGAATTTAGATTAGGGAAAACACATTCTGTACTTTATCAAGTACAGTAATTAGTTCAGTCAGTAAAAGTTGATTACAAGTAACGATAAAGTTAGATTTTTGGTGCTTAATTTTAAAATTTCTTTATTAAATGGTAAATTTGTTCTTAATATAAATGGTGGAATCTACACCTGTTTTATTGCCTATCAGAATAATTAAAAGAACAATGTGTTCAATGCAGAGTATAATCAGGGGATTTGTATATTATGGGTAAGTTTGAACGTAGTTTATAGCAAATAGAACATTACTCAGGAAATTGTTCTTCTGTCGGAGTCTCTTAAAAGATCTTTCCTTTTTCTTCTGGGGGTCAGCAAATGTTTCCTGCTCTTCCAGGGGAACCACAGTCCTTTGGTGGCCGAGAAAATGTGGCGTTTGCTGGGATGCATCTTGTTAGTTAATGGGACAGGCAGAAAATGGATATATTGAGAGTCCTCTGCTGCTGCTGCTGCTGTACAAAAGCGTTAATTGTTTGGGGGGTTCTGAGGTGCTGCTTTTTGGGTTTTATTTATTCCCCGCCAGCCTTGCAAAAATTATTCATAATGTATCATTCCATTTTCACATGGAATCCCATCTTCCCCGCAGCCTTCTGTGTGGATCTTTGTCTGGCAAAACCTGAGATGTTGCCTTCACAGATATGGATTTTTTTCCTCGCCCGGGGAAGAGACAATGAGGCTGTTTCATGCACATTGAACCAACCGCTCCCTCAACAGCAGCAATTGTCTTGAAGTTTTATCCTTGTGAAATCTGTGCACTTCACTGTCTTGCTTGCAGTGGAGAAACTGCACCTTCAGATATATTAACAGAGCTCCAAAAGTTTTGAAAACACTGATTGCATTTGAATAAGTAGGCAAGAAGTCTCCTTTAAATGTAACCCGTGTTATTGTGAATTAACTGCTCTGTGTTCTCCTGGTAAAGGAGAAGATGCTCAACTGGGAATTTTTGTGATGTCTCCTTTAAAAATTGGGTTCTTGCTTCCGTGTTTGAGTTGCTCGTGAAGGTTTCTTTACTGTGATATTTTTAGGGATGAGAAATAGCTAATGATGAGGACAGTCAGCTTTAACATACCCATGCACACACGTATGTGTTTTTAATCTTTTAGCAAAGTCTCCTTGGAGGTGACATGGATATTGGCAACCCAGGAGCGCTCTCCCCCACTAAGCCTGGCTCCCAGTACTATCAGTATTCTAGCAATAACCCCCGGCGGAGGCCTCTCCACAGCACCTCTATGGGTGAGTGACTTTGTGTTCAACCTTTGTTGTGGGGCTTTTTTTTTTTTCTTTTTTTTTTTTTCTTTTTTTTTTTTTCTTTTTTTTTTTTTCTTTTTTTTTTTTTCTTTTTTTTTTTTTCTTTTTTTTTTTTTCTTTTTTTTTTTTTCTTTTTTTTTTTTTCTTTTTTTTTTTTTCTTTTTTTTTTTTTCTTTTTTTTTTTTTCTTCTTCTTCTTTCCCCCCATTTCAACAAATAATTGGGAGTTTCGTCCTGTTTAGCGATACTTGGAAATAAACACAAGAAGTGGCTGCGCCGGGCGCGCGCGCCCCGGCTCTCCGAGGGGTTTATTCATCAGTGGCTGGGTGCTCCTCTTGTGTGGAGCAGCCTTTAAAAAAAAATTGCTTTTTCAAGGCAAATCCCTCTAAGGAGAAAGCAAAAGCTCTAACACTCGAGCCCTAAATAGGATCAGTTTTCCAGCGTTTCGCTGTCGGACTTAAAGGTGGTGGCTCTCGCTCGGTGTGACCCAAACTGCTGCGAGGCTGGCGAGAGGCATCAGCAGCTGGGGCTGTAGAAAATCTGAAGGGGGGGAGTGGGGGAGGAAATAATAAAAAAGAGCCTGTCTAATGAAGACACCGTTTTGTCTTTTTTTTCAGAAGTACAAACAAAGAAAGTTCGAAAAGTTCCTCCAGGTTTGCCATCTTCAGTAAGTACCGCTCGTCTGCTCGCTCGCTTGCGCGCCGGGGCTTTGTTAGGTTGCAGGCAGATAGAGGCGAGCGAGCCCCTGGGCTCGCAGGGTGCCTGGCACTGAAGGACAAGGTAAGGAGAGGTAGGAAATGTCCTGCTTTGTCCCTGCTGGAAGGTGTTTAGTGTTGCTGACGTGGGGCTGAAGAGCCGGTGCGGGCAGCGGGCACCTGCGCGGGGCCGGCAGCTCCCGCGGGCTGCGTGGTGCTCGGTGTGTTCCAAGAGAGATGTGTGGAGGGGCTTGCTGAGACTTTCCCAGGGGTCTCTCCCTGGGATGAGGGGCAAACATCTTCCTTTTCCCACGAGGATCTGAGCTGGGGTACCTGCAGGAGAAGCTGGCTGGGGGCACAGCAGGTGCCAACCGCTGGCATCCAGCGGCTGCCAGAGGCATTGTGGGTTGCTCCACGATGGTGACCAAGCTGGTAATTACTCAGGCTCTGCCCCGATATTTTGAAGACTATCCCTGATATTTCTTTGCCAGGAGGCAAAGAAACGGGTAACGGGTGCCATCCAGCTACCCCGGGCACAGTTCTCCGTGTTGGTGGTGACATTTTGGCACCGTGCAGGCAGAAGTTGGAGTTTCTCTTTGGTTTGGTGGAGCCCTTTGTTTCAGGATCCAAATCGTTACTCTGTTAGTTTTCGTTGTCTCGTCCTCGTGGAAGAACTTGGTGGGTTGTGGTTTTTTTTCCTGCAAAAGCTGTAGTAAGGTGCAGTACATCTTTTGAGAGGGTTTATTTTTTAAATCCATTAAAAATAGTGGGTTTAAAAGATATGAACCAACATTTCAGTAAGTACAGCACAAAGAGCAGGACGGCGAACGCTGCATTTTATTCTAGTATTTTTATTCTAATTCTTTCTCCACTGTTACCTTAAAAATACCCATTTTTTGCTGTTGGGATCTGCAAACAGAAACCAAGCCACTCCAGAGGGGAGAGCTTCCCTTTCATACCTGATAAGTCTATTTGTTTTATCTCTAAATCTGGTTATTAGGAGGAGCTGAGTGGCAATCAATCTTGCGGAATATATAACAAATTGGTGTGTTAATCTCAGATGGGGTTTATGTTTTTCCCATAAATCCACATAAATTTGCAGTTTGCAAACCAGCATCCTTTGAAAGCTTCAGTTATTGTGGTGACTGTGCTGAACAAGTAGCTTCATTACTGGTCACTTTATAAATAAGACAATTTTAATCTGAAAGAGGGAGCAGCATGTGAACATCCTAATTCAATCGCACGGATTATTGTAATCTTTAGAATGTTCAACAAAGGCAAACATAAATCTTCCTTGTAAGTTGTTGAAACATGGAAATTCTCAAACGCCAGTTTCCAGGCAAGTAATAATACTGTGTTTTTTTAATTAAAAATAAGCTCCCGCACGTGTATTTTAAATGGGTTTCACTGTGTGTTTTTTGGGCTTGGATTTTATTGCCCTCCTTTCCAGCAATAGCTAATATCCTCCCCGAAGCTTTTTATGAGAACTCTCGTGCTTGCAGTCCGAGGTGGATTGAATTTGGATGAAACTTTAGCTTTTACTAGTTTTCCTGACAACTTGGTGAGCTCTGTCCCTGCCAGCTGGGAGGCGAGGCTGGGGGTGCCAGGGAGCCGAGCCGGGCGCATCCCTGTGCCGCGGCCTCCCGGCTCAGGAATTGTCCTGGGGTTTTGCTTAGCCATTTACAAGGGGAAAAAAACCCCACACACAACAAACAGACAACAACAAAAAATAGTCTAACCCGAACCTGCATTTTTTTATTCTTTAAAATAAGGCTTTGGAGAGAGGTGACCATCTCGGGATGTTTCCCGGGGATATTTTAGCGTCCTTGTTAGGTAAGAGGCTTTCGGTGCGATGGTACCTGCCAGGGGAAGAGTGGCCACATTCCCTTTGGAAATGTCAGCCTGTGGGGGTTTCTAACCCCTGCAGAAGTTTTCTTGTGGCTTGCTTCTTGCTCGGGAAGAATGAAAGGCAATTTGTGGTGGTGGCAGATTAGTCTCAAATGATTTTCTGTGAATGCAATTGTTGTACGGAACGGAAACGCTCCTGCAGCTCAGTACTCTCCCTGTTTGAACAGGGGGTTTGTTTTTAAGTCAAATTATCTCAAAGGAGAATGTGCACTATAAATACTTCAAATTGTTTTAATGAGCTGCACAATTTATTAGGAAATAAAATAGAAAAAGGCATCCTTGGATATTTTAACTACCCATTCCTCTGTCTTCTAAGAATAAGGAAATTAAAATACAAGTCCAGTAATACGGGTGCAAGAATCCTCTGGCTCTGAAGGAAAGAAAGCTTTTTTTGAGGTGAACACACAGACAGGTATTTGGGGCTCCTTGTCTTCACATAGCATGAGTCACACATTTCATTTGAAATTTAGAAAAGGCACCTGTGTGTCTCAAACAGAGCAAGTCTTTTATAAAAGGTCACGTTATATTTAGGTTCTAGATTGTGTCACGCTGAACTGCCAGGATTTATGAGGCTGAATGAAGTATATGCATTTATCAATTGACTAACTAGATTATAATATACTTAGTTGATAGGGTGGAAATACTGCTGGATTTCTCTTAAAATATGTATATTAACTTGTTCTCCATGTGATTTATGTAGTGGATATGGAGATTAGAGCAGCAGCGTTGGTGAAAGCAGTTATTGTTGATTAATACATAAGTAGTCTTACAAAAATTTCAATGATAGATGGTAATAAATATGTTGTATCAGCTCCCCATTATTATAAGAAATGGCTACGAGTTTGGAAAATAAAATAAATTAAATGGTGGAAACAATCAGTTTAGAAAATAATGAGGATTTGAACTAAATTTGGCCTCGGGAAGGTGGGGGTGCTCTGGGTGGGGGGTGCAGCCCAGGCCAGGCTGTGAGCATCCTGCCTGTGCTGGACTCCTGTGGCCAGCCTCAGCCACAGCTCATCACAGCAGTTCCAGACTGCAGACAGGCCTGGAGCTGAGCTGAAACCAAACTTCCTTGGACTTACAGACTCTATGCGGTCTCTTTGGGGCGAGGGGTTTCACTGGGGCCATTTCCTGATGGACCTTTACGCCTTAAGCTCTGCCCTGCCGTGAGTGGTGCTGAGAGGGTCAGGGTGTTCTGGGTTGAAGTGGCTGAAGATGAGATATGGGCAGCAGCAGATTGGCAAAAACAAGGGGTTTCTGTTCAAACTTGTTTTTTTTCTTGTTGAGTGCCCAAACAGTGTTACCAAGCTCTGACATGGTAACATTTTGTACCCTTCGTGGACTTGGCAGTGCTGGGTTAACAGTTGGACTTGATGGTCTTTAAGGTCTTTTCCAACCCAAATGATTCTCTGATTCTATAATGTTCTTCACAAGTGTCAGATGCTGCTGTCATCTCGCGTGGTGCAATCCAGGTGGCTCCTCTCTACAACCACCTCCTCACCCTTCACTTCATCCTTTGCTGTTCTTTTAGTCTTGAAGCTGAAGCCTTCATCAGTTTTAGCTGCTGATGGTTTAACCACGTCGGACCTTTTGCATTAAGTGTTTGCCAAGTGATGTGACATTTTCTACCTTTCTTCCCTTGACCAGTAAGACTCAGGAAGGAGCAAGCTGTGCTGGTATGTGTTGTTGGAAGTGTCTGTGAAGGAATGGGTTGTGGAATGGGAAGTCTTTGGGGGAAAAAGGGAGCAAAGAGGGAAGGACTTTGGTTGTGGATGTCATGTTTGAGTGGTGTTTTTACAGGAACTCGTATCATCCTGACTTAAGTCCACAACAGTGACACTCTGGCAGGGAAGTGGTGGCTGCCCAGCTGTGGATTTCCAATAGATAGGACCTGTAAGGCAAAGCAATATATTGAGCATAAAAAGCTCAAAAATCACAGGAACATGGAATCATAGAATCTGAGGGGGTGTGCCCAGCACAGGCCATCTGCAGGCTTTTTGCCTCTCCAGCTACTCTTCTTTGTGGCCAAGCTTTCCAGAAGCATGACTAGACACAATAAATGGCTCAGCTCCTGCATTTCCTCCATGGCCAGTGCTTGTTTTTTTGGTGTGATTATCATCTGGTCAACCTGCTGTCAAGTGCAGTTGCTAGGGCACAATATATTTATTTTCCATCTTCATTCTCCTTGGACACTCTTCCCTTTATGACCACTCTCAGGTCTCCTGCTCCCCTAGCTCCAGGGGAAGAGTGGGTATTTACAGATATTTGATCCCCCATTCATGGTAGGTTGTACCATCACCTTGAAAGCTGCATCTGTAGGAGCTCTTGGGGAAATGGGCAACTCCTGCTTGGGAAGGGAACTTGGGGCTGAGCTGCCTCCTCTGCCCGGGGCTTCATCTCTGCCCAGGGCTCTTACTCCACTCTTCCTTCATCAGATAGATGTGAGTGGGCTCAAGGGGAAGGAACCAGGTCTGGCAGCAGGAGCTGGTCTGCCCCAAGGAGCAGGGTTGCAACCACAGCCTGGATGGTTGTCAAACAGAATTTTGAGTGTAGACACCGAGAGATTCTTGTGGGGAAGGTTTTACGGGGTGGGAGAAGTCAAATATCATCTCAGTTGTGTGAAAAGAGACGTGAGGAACTGAAGAAGTAATTAATTTTGTTGACAATTCATCAGGTAGACTCTCTCAAACCTGTTTTAATGGCAAGAGCCTCTTTCTGTCATCTGAGTTGAGGTGTCCTCAGACTGGAGATGTCTGCCTGCCTGCGCTGCTGTGTGTGTTCGCAGGTGCCTCAGCTCTGACCTTGCCAGCCAGACAGTTTGGAAAGCCTATGACTCAGTTGTACATCCTAAGGAAACACCTGCTTGCTTCCAAAAGGCAAGAGAAGAGGAATACTTACTGGGATGCCACCTGGAGTTTTTCCACAGCTTTCTTCTGCTTTCCACAGGAGAAGCCTCGATAATTTTGCTGGGAGGTGAGGAAACGCCGCTTGTGCTTTTTGTGCTGACTCTGCACACTTCCTACCTCAAGTGAAAAAACACAGCCCTGTCAATTTCCCTCCAAAC